CAAGGTAGGAGACGCAGATCATGAAAACACTCATACAGCATGAATCTCTCCCTGGTCCTGATGAACCAGGGGTTGTCTGCGGGATTTAGAGGCATCTTGGGCTGCCACCTTTGTGGAGTTAAACGGAGAGAAAAATGCCTGGGGAGCTCAGAGTAGGAATTCCACCAGGTGACAGCTGGTCACCCCATCCAGAGGCCCTGGTGAGAGCCAAACACCGAGTAAGAGGGGTTCACTGTGTTGGGCACTTTATGACCAGGAATTGGAAACTGCTGGCTGCATCTGGAAAGAAACCAGGTTAGTACAGAGAGCGGCTGCCTCCCATCCTACCCTGGGGCAGAGGGCAGCAGGCCCTGATCCCACTGCAGGGCAGAGAGCAAGGGCTCAGCAGGGGTCCCTGCACTGTGTGACCCCCGCAGGGCAGCAGCAGCGGACAATGTCCTATTTGGTATTTTGCAGGGCAACACTGTTTTATTTGCAGCCCTTGTGCCCAAAGGAGTGGGGCCAGATTTGAACCCTTTGATGGCTGGGCCCAACATTCTGGGTTCTCAGCTGCTTTTTAGATCAAAGAAAGGAGCAGCCCCATTTGTCTTTGCTGTGAGCCTTGAGCCTGCTCAGTCCACAGGGACAAACAGGAAAACGGCCTGTTCTGTGGCATTTAGTCAAAAGTGATTGTGAAATGGACAAGGGAAGGGCCAAATGTTAGCTGGTCCCCAAGCACCTCCACCTCCCGCCCACTCCACCCATGGGAGTGTTTAAATCCCAGTGGGCTCAGCTCAGGGCATTGAGACTCAGCTCTACAGAACCACCAGGAAGTCCCTGAATGTCCTTCTCTTTGTGGGGTCCTCCTATGCTGGACAGAACTGTCGGCTGCGTCTGGGAAGAGGCGAGGTTAGTACAGAACAGTTCTACCCCGGGGCAGGAGGCAGTAGGCTCTGATCTTATTGGAGGGCCGAGAGCAGGGGCTTAACAGGGTTCTAGAATTCAATGTTTCCAGGAGCTGACCCGTGTCTGCCTGGACTCATTTCTCACCAGGTTTCGGTTTTTGGGTGAAGAAGGGGAGAAATTATTTTCTTTACATAAGAAGTTCTCCCAGATAGCGTCCTTATCTAACAAAACTAAGGTACCATGCTGAGAGGCACTATGTAAAAACCTAATATAGATATGTACCGTGACAGTCATGCTCACCATTGTTTCTGAGCAGGTAATCAACAGGCTTGGCAGAATTCAATTTCTATTTTTGTATAATTTTGATCGACAACACTATTTATTTTAAGTATTCTTTTCAATTTTTACCTATTTACATTTTCACAGAAAATTACCTGGCAAGTAACCAATAATTATTTAGTGATAGTAGACACTGACACACATTAGGTAACATTATACAACGAATGCAAGACAAATTGTCAATTGCACATTTCAGAATGGAGAAAGAAAATGCAGTATCCTTAAATCAAGAGCTAAGCACCCTCCAGCTCTCTTTTATCTTACCTTGTCCATCAGTAAATTGGGATTATTCTTGACGAAAATATTTCAGTTGGTTTGAGTGCACAGTGAAATCAACATCAACACACATTTACTGATAAAATACAAATCCTCCAAGCCTGGTAATAAATACACATAAACCCAAACTCTCTACATCCAGACCGAGATCCTAGAATTTGGGTATCTTTTGGGTTTCAA